GACGGAGAATATACGGAAGGTCTGGGTTATCTGTCAGGTGCGTATTCAACTGACTTCCGCTCACAATGATCGGTAGAGGCGCGTTACTTGTGTCGCCTAGTGACGCGTCTAGCTCCTCGTTTACTTTCCACAGATACCAAGCCGAGTTACTGAGATTGCCGAATAAAGTGTAGTTCAATTTCTCTAACACAGTGACGTAATTCTCTAATTCGTGGACCATCCCTAAATACCTTGGAACGTTTACTTTCATGACTTCAACGGAATGCCTCCTCCAGTGTTGTGTGTTATATTAAGTTTAATCACATGACTTTTCTGCTAATCTTAATAAATGTAAATTAACATCATACCCATGGTACCTGAAATGAAACAAACAAGCCTTTATTTACATCAACTATGAAATTAAAGTTTCTTAATTAAATTATGCAATATTGAATGCAATGAAACTAAATCAGAACACGACTAGAGAATAAACATATCCAAGTTCTACATTTCTAGACTGGAACGAATTAAACAGTACAACGCCTTATAAACATAAACAAGAAACTGCAAGGACGACTGTAAAATGTCCATACACGTGTATGTAAACATTTCGCGTTCGATGTATTCTTCGCTTTATAGTATTACTAGGTGTACAATAATCAAGTGTATACTACCGTAACAACTAATAAGCGAAAAGCGGAAAAAGCCTGACATGTGTATCACGTTTTGTTTCAGTGACTTTCAATAAAGATAGTGTTTCGACAAAAACAAAATAGACCACCTGCCGAGACAGGGGTAACAAACTTAATATAAATTGAATATTAGATTTTGTTGTACTGCCCAATATTGGGTATGTTGACAACAATTACACGAAGAAAGTAAGTCGTAGTGCTAATGCTATTGCATTATGTAGCAATGAAAGCTTAATTAAAGCAGGGGAGTCGTCATCTGCGCATGCGTCGGTTGGCCATAGCGTGTCATTGTTTACAAACAAGCGTCTACTAACGAGACTTTGCGGCGTTTTTAGCGTGTGTTGTTATCATCGCTTGGAACTCAATTCCCGCGCGTGCGCAGGTGACGACCCTCCCGCTTTAAATAACGATGGTCTTCGCGATGCGTCTTCTTCGACATAGGTCCCACCCAACGTGTACGATGCATATAAATTACATCGTTTGTTTAAACGATGAAATCGTGCACGGCTGTGCGACGAAACCCGGCCTTCTGACTTCTGAGCTGATATTGAAGTTCGGTTGCCATGACTTCATAATTCATAAGTAACGCGTTCATCACATTATAGGTAATCCGCGTCCTTCCTTTTCAAATAAACATTTAATTAAATAAACTGAACTGAACTGAAGGGACACCTGCTACAGATAAAGTGAAAAATCACGATACATTGGGGGTTCAGTAATCATACTGCCTATATTCATACTCTCTATATTTTCCATCTAACTAATAAATTGATCGGTATGTGGCTTAATATTACATTTCGTATGTACGGTATTAATAATATTTTGTCTCAGAAAGATAACTTAACAGTGTAAAAGCTTGCTTGAATTATTAAAAATGGTAAATAAATTACACATGCTAAACGCTAAGTACACTGATGTCTTACCTTACTTTACGATGTGTTGCTTGGTGATTGTGGACAATATTTTAAAACATGCCTGAGTACTGTTGTAAATTATCAGCACAGCCTCGTCTCAGGGCGTAATATACGGCGCGGCATAATAAGTAAATAACAACCGGAGTAACTAAAACATGTATTTAGATGATCCTTTCAGGTAAAATGATGCGGCAATTGTCTTAAATTCTGAAGCCTAACAGTATATAAATTTTACCAAAAGCGAAAAATATTAACGTTCTCTACGATGTGTGTAAACATAGTTGTAAATACCTCCATTCTTAATAACGCATTGCACTTTGTTGGTCGAATCGGGTAATGTGAATACTGGCGCATGCGCAGTATGAATATGTGAGTGGACCGTTGCTGTAACCGTGTTTTACTCCACGATGTATTTGTAATACGCAACGTACTCAGTACTGACACCACACAAGAGTATGTCACAGTTAAATACTCCGCAATTGAATATGGTACAGCATTTCAATAACATTCTCCGGCCAATATATGCTAAAATATCTGAAACGTGTAGTAGTAGGTAGGTATCTATTTTCCTGGAGGTCGAGTAAAGACAACTGAGTAAAAATACACAAAAAAAACACATAACAATTAATTATTCTGGTACAAATTGTGAAAAAAGTTGCATTTTACAGGCAGACTTTTGATGGCAAGAGAAGGGCTGATATCATCGGGTAAACTGTTAAATTCGGACGCAATGTTTACATAAAAAGATCGCTTATACATGTCAGGAACAATTTCAGATATTACGTATTTTGTTATTGTCCGAAACCTTCAATTTTGCCAAATGGTGTGCCTTATCAATAGGCCGAAAAACATTGGTTATATCCAATTTTAAAGATAAAGGCTATTTTTTGCCATGGAAGTTTGACGCGTGCGATGCCATTGGTTGAAATCGTCAGTGTTCGTTGTGCCATTGAAATAGTTTCGTAGTGTACGTTGTCATAACAATCGTAAAGGTCACGGTAGAATAGTGAGAACTTAGTTCTTGGGATAAAATTTGATTTAATACGTGAAAACATAGCGTGTCCAATTTTGCTGTCATAGGTGTCATTAATATATCATTGCGCTGTCTGAGCTTCTTTATATACAACAGTTCAACGATTTATATGGCGCCTGGTTGCCGTAACGACCAAACTAAGTATTTGTTTATGCGATGTTTCATTTTTGCATGAAATCTCGAGCAGATGGCAGCTTCAACTAAGTAGCTGATAATATATGTGAAACTGGGAATAATATTGCAGTTGTTTACTTGTCTGGACTGAACACAGACAACACCTGCTCTAAAGGTCAAAGGGTCGGGTCATTTTGTTTTGCCGGTTTGTATTTGCATTCATTTAGAGACGGGTGGTCTTTATACTTTGTTCGCGCTGACTAAATAACAACATATAATTTATGCGATCGTTGATAAATTCATCCCCCTTGCAAAACATGTCAAAGTTATGGTTCCCAAACTCAATTACTGACGATAATTATTTTATCAACACAGTTAAACTAGATTTGATCTAAATCTGTTTTCCCATTGTATGTATATTTTCAAGGGACCGGGAACCCACACATTACCGGGGGATCACCTGGTTACGTGCATTAAACTAATAAATGTGCCCCAACATTAAATCGCCACCGCTCATGTGAATCACGCGCACCTATTAGCCATGCTTGGCCGTGCTAAGTGAATACGATACAATCCAAAAAAGGGTGTATGTGCGTAGAAATCGTGGGTTGGCTCTCTTGAACGGACGTTGATTTGTCACTGCGTCACAAAGAGTATGTCACAGAATGACGTCCTCTACAGAGAGCCATAGATTGCCATAACGACATTTAATTGTACATCTATATTTCATTAACAGCTTTGCGGACTGGACACTAGAGGGAGCGCTTCATGCTGTTTTTAAAGACCGTATTATAAATACAAATCAAGTTGACGTGCATTGTATTAGTCTACGTCGGTGTCTATAAAAGAAAATCGTCACAACCGGCAATACCACTAACTCACTATTTCCGGTATTCCTGCGATTGATTACAAACACCATATTGTCACAGGGTTCGTCAGAAAATCTATCACAATTAGACTATTCGGTTAAAATATATAGGTCTTTGATTATACTGCTAGGTGAGAAGATTTTTGTAAAATACGTACACTTTGCGATCAGGACATCAAAATGCCACCTAGTCGGGCCATGCTGTATGCAGATTGAACAAGTGAGCTTTACCAAGCCGATGATGCGGGGAAGCCACTAACAACGGTGTTTACATACCAAGCCAGTAAACAGCGTATAAGTACTGAGAAATAATTTTAAACTCATAGTTGCTGTCGACATAGAAATTAAAGTAAGCAAATAACACCGAATAAACGGCAAGGTAAAGACTATGTCTAATTATAGTAAATACGTACTGCGTACGTGACTCGAACCGGCGCTCGCGTACGGCACCTAATCGCCTAGCTTCACGCCACTACACGTCTTCCCCTCGGCCACCGGGCATCCCCAAAAAAGGATGCTTAATAACCGAGCTTATTACGTGCAGAGAACATGAAACCCGTCCACGCGATACGCGCCACAGTAAACAACGTGTTGATTAAGGAAAGTTTTGGGCGTCCAACGTCGATTTCATCTTTCATGTTACCGTTTCACGCACACACTAGCACGCGGTATTGGTGTAGGAAGTTTCGTAGTCTGTAGTAATATTCATTGTTATTGTTATATTATTGATTGCACTTATGTGTACATGGTATGTTGCTTATAAGAATATTAAATCTATTATTTTCCTAATTTGAGTAATGTTACCTTCTTATTTTCACTTTATTATGATTGTTATCCGCAAAGCGATAAATTCCAGTTCTGAATTTACTAAGAGGCCCATAATACCCTATTTTGGTGGGTAAAAAAAATCAATTACGAGAACTAAGTGGCGTCCTTCATTGACTGGATTTGTTCGCGTGAAATAACATTCAACCTCGTGACATGACAAATTAGTTATAACATTGGAGCAATGCCACCAAATTTATAGTTTTTCACATCGAATTTTATTGAACTATTTATTTATTTATTTATTTATTTATACACAGGTCAACGGGCAGACATATAAGACAAAACAAAAATAATAAATCAAAACTGCAATCACAATTTAAAAAAAAAAAGATATACCACATTATATATATAGATTTGAAATTATTTGACAAATTGAAGGCAGAATCAAAATTGTATACCGAATTACATATCGATGTATCTGTATGTTTGCTTTATTTTTTAAGAACGTATTTACAAAAAGTCTATTTATAATTTATATTTGTACAAATGTTGTTGTTTTTTTATTGAAACCGATACTGTGATTCTCGGTGATAAATTTCTATTAAGAATTGTACTTGTAACATAAACTTCGGTCACATTACCAACTCTTCTATTCCCAGACCACTTACTAGAAACATACCCATAAAAGTGGATTCTTGTTGACAATCTATCGTTGCTCGCGTTGGCAAATATACTTTCATATAAAGCCTATCCCCCGCTCTTAATTCAAATAAACCCGAGTGGAAACTACTGTAGTAGTAGTCGGAATTTTTACGTTGAGTTTTACCACTCTTCATAAGATTAATTGGATCGGCTTCATAAGCTGTACTCTCTGCAAGAAAAAAAAAATTATTAACAAAACACCAAAGACATTCGGTAAGATTTTTAAGAGGTCAGAGCGCCCTCTAGCGACGAAGAACTTCTGTGACGTCAAAATGACGTAAATAGGCGCAAGCAGTGTCCTTCATGAACGTTTTGCATCACTGTATTGATTGTATACACTCAAGAAATACTACTCATGGAAATTGTTATGAAAATTACTGCGAACGCTGTGAACGGGTAATCAATAGACAAAATACTGGATTACATTACCTAACACTGTATAATGTAAATATTCCATTATATCTGGAGAACTCGGTGCACTGTCCAACTCCTCGTCGCGAAAATATGCCTGTAGTGATAATTCAGACGAAATGTGTTAACAAGTGAAATATAACTATAATACAGATTGACGCAGTTACATTTTTTTTTTGTTTACCTGGCTGTATACATAGTAGATTCCGGACTCCGGTACTATGATATTATACTGATCGCACTGTACGTTCTTTTGGAGAGATCGGCCATACACTGCTTCCCAGGGTCCAACTTTAATGTTTCTGTTCCTTCTATGTGCGTTAGTAACTACATAAACAAATAAAAATAATCATGATGCCCCGTACCGTAAGCTATACATCGATGAATTGAAACCATCTACATATGATTATCAAATATTTTTGCCATAAACACGGAATTGTGATGATCAGACGTGCGAACAATCCATGTATTACAGAAATTTTATTCGACATATCATAATGATAAACACGTTTGGATACAAATTGTCGTAAATACATAGTCACAAACATCACTCTAACCTTCTGATGATCAAGATAGCGAACTAGT